ACAGAAAAGTATGGGAAAAAGTACATTGCAAGTGATGAAACGAGAAACTTAAAAAATTGAGGATTAATAGCAGTTGACACAAAGAACAATGAAAGAGCGATGATTTCAAGAAATAAAAAATCTTATTGTCCTAAATACATTGAGACTTTAGTTTATAGCAAATGCAGTTATCACTTTAGGAATGATTTCTTTCTCTACTCATCATGGTGGCTAATATCTGTAATTCAGTACTCTGGAAGGCTGAGGCAGGAGGATCACACGTTTGAGCCCAACATTGACAAATTAGAGACTTAGAGAAACTTTGTATCCAAAATTAAACAAATAAAGGGTTGGAGATATAGCTTAGTGTGAAGGACATTGGTTCAGTCCCAAGTATTGCAAGTAAAACACTGAGAATAACCAAAAATTCTGACCATATCCATTTCTCTCAAAGAACAGATCAAAAGAATATATTCCTTATTTTATTATGTGAGATTTTTATAATTTCAAATCAGGGATGAACATTATTCCTGAAAGAATCCAACTTGCTTTTAAAACTAAATGTAAAATAATTCTTAACAAAGTATTATCAAAAATAAGCCACAAAATAATTTTTAAATTGTAATGCACATTATTAAGCAATAAATTTATCTTAGAAATGAAGTTTGATCTAACAGTGAAAAATTTGTTAATATAACACCATATTAATGAAAATATCATATGTTTTTCTTAATATATGCATCAAAATTTCTGATATAATTCCATATTCATTCACAAAACAACTCTAAACAATTGGAGAGTTGGAGCAAGATTTTATAGCCAATATTTACCAAACAATAATATGACATGAATATCTACTAACATACTTTATTGGATGCTTTATTAAATCTCACATAGAAGTCATAGCTCATATAAAAATTTTTAAAAATACATAAATGATGAGAATGAAAGTAATAAAACTTTCAATATAACATTTTTAACATAAACAAAAAGCAAGATAATAAGGTAGTTAATAACAAACTTTAGCAGTTAGTTTATAGAACTCGGTAACATTCCTTTATAGCAGCAATATCAAGATAAATATTTTAATCACAAATCATATTTTTATGTTAACATTTACCAGAAATTTAATAACTACTTGAGTCAATTCAAGCTCCTATAACAAAACACTTAGACTGGAAATTTCTTCAACTCATAAGTAACAGTAATACCTTGCTCACAATTATGGAGCTGGACCTCTAAAATCAAGGTGACCACAGTGTTTGGTTGGAGCATTTTATTTTTTAAAGGAGTGCCTTTCAGCTTTGTCTTTGTATGTTGTGGGAAGAGCAAAAGTCTTCCCTTGGCCCCTTTCATAAGTACACCAATCTCCGTACCTCTTAATAACTTTTAACAACTGGATATTGGGGTATGCATACATTCAGATTATGACAATAATACTAAGGATGTAATGCTATTTTAACGATGGCATATCTTCTCAAATTCTGATTTAGTCTCAGTGTCATTCTAATGACAATTTTGACATCGAAATTCCAGTGTTAGTATCGAAGAGAAAGAGAAAGAAGATGGTCTTCAAGAAGAACAAGTGAGACAACTTGCTATGATGGATATCTGAAAAAGAAAAAGAAATAATTGAAAAGCACATCACTATGAAGATGGATCCAAGAGTCTAGCAGAGTTTGAGTTGGAGCTCAGACAGAGTGATGCACACATGGAAGCCCGGGTGACACACGAGGCAGGACTCTAGACAAGGAGTGCTAGGATAGTTGTTCATGTGGGGAAAAGTGAAACGGATGCCAACCTCTCATCTTTATATCCTTTCCTTCTTGCTCCCACCTGATCCTTGTACCGATAACCCAAAAATGAGAAAAACAGTTTTGTACGACCTTTAGGAAAAAAATAGAACAAATTCATGACCTCATGTATGAGAAATATTTCTACAGCATGCCAGAAAATGTATATTCAGCACGCTAAATTAAAATTATGCATGTCAAAGCTATGAACTTATTTCATCATCACACAGTATATAAAAATAAAAAGAGAAGTAGAACCTGAAGAAAATGTCATGGTTTTGGCTTAAAAAGGTTGATCCAGTACCAAAACCAAACCAAAACAAAACAGAACCAACCAAGAAACAAAAAAATGCCAAAGGCAAAAACCAAGACCAGTTATTATACAGAAAAGGAAAGAAATATAGATAAATAATTTGTGAAAACATCCTTATTGGTAATCATGGGAATACAAATTAAAACACAATAGGATAAAATTTTGTCTAAATTGGATATCAATAATCAGCTACATTGTCAGTGGGGCTCTTAAATAGTGCTGGTAGAACAAAAATCTTTGGAAAACTCGGTCCATCTTGCAACAAAGTGATAATGCTTCTAAGTTAAACACAATGATATTCAATTTTGCATTCATCACATTTGCAAAAGAGTAAAATAAAACACAAGACAAGACAAACCAAGTGTTAGCAGGATTGAAAGAACAAGAACTCTCATGAAGAGCTGGCAGGAGAGCAATCAAAATCCTTTACAACACTTTGGCATTTCTTACTAAAGCTACACAGGTGCATGCTCTTTAAACACATAATTTCTAGTCCTCAGAAACTCTTGTGCATGTCTTTGGGAAATAGGAATAAAATGTTCAATGCAGAGTTGTTTATGATAATGAAAAATGGGAACCAATTTCAAATATTTGTTTCAGGAGAACTGTTAAAAATCTGAAGAAAACTCACATACACTATTCTGAGTGGAAAAAAGCAAGTTACTATGTATAACATTACTATGTATATTAATTACATAATAATAAAACACATAAAAGTAAAGGATGAAGTGTTATACACACACAGAAATATAATCTATAATGACGAGATAATGGGAAACAAAAAATCAGATTGATGATGACCCTGAGGATTAGGGTGTTAGAATTATAAGGGTACATAGATGTTCAATTATACTTGAAATGTTATATTACATACCCTGAGATTTTTCTTTCATTATTTTCATGTTTTTAGGTTGCATATTCTTCATACATTCAAATTGCCTCACAACACGGAAAACTGAAGTTATAATGTAAAAGCACATATCCAGTAGGAGGAGAAAAGAATATACATTATTTAATATTTTAAATTTAGATTTGTACTGAATAATAATTCGACTTTCTCTGGAATTGTGATAAATTACTTGTTGTTCAGTTAATCCTCTAAAAAGCATTTGATTTGCCTTTTGAGATCATGCAGTATTGTAAAACATAAGCATCTTGAAATATTCAGTGTTTGGTTGACATGTTCACACTGTGAAACACTTAGGAACGGAGATCAACGAAATGAATACAGATTAACATCTTCCATACTCACTGATATATTTATGTTCATCAGTTGTTGACAAACAAAATTTAAAGCAGTACTCAAATTGTTCTTCCATTTTTCTGTTAATATTTACCATATTTAATTAAAATTGCTTAAGTTAAATATGTATTCTGAATCTTCAGTTTACTTGTAGTTCAAAAGAATATTATTAAAGTGCATTCTGAATAACTGTTTAATCCAGTTCAGTGAATTTTTTCTCAATTTACTTGGCCTATCTCAGAAAGTCCAGAGAGGATGCTGTAGCCATAGGCAAACAAGAGACAGCAAGGCAAGAAATAATATAATGAATGAACAGGATAGAAAGCAGGCCATTGTCAAGGTGAAGAAAAAAATGAAACTTTCAATTTGGTCTTTCATAATATTTAAATGTCACTGTACCATTGATTGATATAACTAATTACTTATAAGGAAATTAAGAAAGAAACACATCCCCTTAATCTTTGTTTGAGGTGGAAGTATCCAAAGTTCAAAGCTAGCCTGGAAAATTTAGCAAGAACTTTTCTCAGAACTAAAATAAAAATGGCTAGAGATATATTATTATATTTTTATTTCTCATTGGAGAACCTAAACTTATTATTAAATAATAATTATATTATTATTTCCCATTGGAGAACCTGAATTTTATCCTAAATATTGAAAAATATATCTTAGAAATTGTTTATTTTTGCATCTCGTTGTATAGGCCAGCTTCCAAGCTATGTCAACAAACCTGCCTTTTGTCTCCAGTAATGCTTTGCTATGCTATTGTCTACTTTTTAATTCCCTTTCCAGATGTGTTCTGTTTGTGGTCCTTGAATAAAGTGGGTCCTCATCTAAATATGTATATACAAGAAAAAAGTGTAATAGGCAAAAATAGCAATATAAACGTTAACAGTAATAGCTTGGATGGCAATGAAATTCTTATAATAAATACATTGGTACTTGAAGCTACTTATGATTTGGTTCTTTTCCATTGCAGCTACAAAATGTAAAAAAAATCAGATTAAACTATTATTAAGTGCCCGTACCCAGTTGTATTCCACATAGATTTTTGTCTAACTTGTAAAATACTATCAACAAAAATAGATAGTATCATGGCAGATTATGGAATAAGTGTATTGTGACCCAAATATATTGGTTTGGAAACCTATGTTTTGGTCTTACTATTTGTATATTGAATTTATTGCTCATTGCATCATTGAGCAATAATGACAAATCATAATTTGTCATACAAATTGTATCTAATGTACTCTATTATTTTACATAGCAATAGCTCTATGTTAATCAATAATTTTATATGGAGTCACATTAAGCATGGTGCAGAACTATCTCAATCAAAATGATTCATATTTTTGGAACTGATTTTAAATGTTTTGTGACAATGTTGACAGCAGGATTGGAACCAATGTGAGAACTAGTTTGCATTAATCACTCTTCTTTTAAATCACAGAGCTTAGCTCTTAATTTAAGAAACTGACTCATCCTGCTTGAATTTCTATAATTCTTCTGTAAGGCCATACTTTTCTACCACACCATAAATTTTTTGATAGGATATTGTCTTAGTCATTTTTCCATTTCCTACATCTGTAAAAATTGTTAACACATTGAACTGTCATATCTCAAAAGAATAAAGATTTCCCTTTATTTAAAAAGTAATTTTATTTTTTTCCAGAAATTTGCTAGAGCTGTATAGAAGTGAAGATGATATGGAAATTTCAACGAAGATTAAGACTCAGTGGACCTTGCTGGGTCTAGAAGATGTACAGTTTGTGAATTACTCCGTGCTGCTAAATGTGCCAGGCCCTGCGCCCAGCACCGTGACGCTGAGCAGCAGCGGCCAGTGTTTTCATCCTAATGGCCAGCCTTGCAGTGAGAGAGCCAGAACAGAAGGCAGCCAAGATCTGCTCTACTCATATGCAGCCTATTCTGCCAAAGGAACTCTCGAGGTAATATGACCATTTGTCTCTGTCATTTACAGTGAAATGGAATTAGAAAACAACAGCTTTCATCTAAATTGAACTAACTGGCAAGATGCAACAAAAAAGTAACCATTAAATGTTCTCATTGTGGAGGCCTCAGGAAAGGGAAGGAAGATAGAAATTGCCTGATGTTTTTCTTGTCATATTTTGAAAGTGAAAGCAAGTTAGAAGTGAACTCAAAGGTGTTGAACATGTGACTCAGTCATTCAGATTTTGCCCAGGCCATAAAGTACAAGTTTATGTCATTTATAGTTTTGAAGAGGCCAATTTTAATACACTGAAATGGAAAGAAAGAATGGAAATGGAGGAGATTGTGTTTTGAGGTTGTGTAAGTACCTAAGAAATGAGGTGGAAAATTGATGTTTTCACACATATCAGATTTGAAATACAGCACTTATGCTTTCGTGATAGAAAACACATGTGATACGGAACCAGGTGTAGATTTTTCCTCCACCTTTTCTGGGTTGGCTAGGTTTTGGCACTATGTAACTTTGGCATAGTAGTTAAGTGAAAGGCTATTAGAGACACATGGATTAGTTTTAAATCTCAACTCTGCCATTACTATTACTTAAACCATCTAGTGCTGAGTTCTCCTGTCTCTGTGTGGAAAATAGCAATAGGTCTAATTTTCTAAAACTGTCATGAGAAATTAACTAATATACGTTTATTCTGGAGGGTACAGAATAGTCTATGGTAAGAACAATGTATATTATGTACAACATTATTGATCACTGGTTTGCTACTACTGTAATTCTCATTTAAAACAAATAAAAATTTGTGTTTCTGACTTGTAATGGTACAATTTTCTGAAAATTTTACTTCACATTAATTATGGATAATATATGACATATTTAGGTCATTTAAAGCTATTTATCAGAAGTGCTCAAAATAACGTAACAGTGAATGCTCGTTCCTTAATATAAGCTTTTATTTGGAGGGAATGGGGGGGTAGATGTGGCTTTGCTTGTGTTTCAGCATTGTTTCTACTCTAATTTTATTACATCCTGACTTTCAGCAGTGCTGCACAAAACCCAGCACAACCTTGAGAAGTTTCACTGTTAAATTAATTAGAATTTAATTTAATGTTAAATGTCTGTAGTATTCCTAGTGTAGGACTCTTCTAATTTGATTTGATTAATATACATTATTTCTGGGAGCCAATAATGGAAATGAAACACACCTGCAAATTAATAAAAATAGCCACAGCCAGTACCCTCTCCTTGGTTCAGAAGCTTTGGACTTAATCCAAGAGTTTAAGTTACCCATATATATTCTTGTGGATTCCTAACCTTGCATAAGCCCTGCACATCTCCTGCCTTCTCTTTCATCCAATTGGCTCAAATCCAGTGAGATAATTTATCCCCTGACAACAGCGTGTCTAAGACAGAACAACCACAAAGACGTGAGTAGTGCCTTGGAATCTTTTTGCTCTTCAGTTTATTTTTGCAAACACTGATAACTGTTTACCTAGGTGATATGGAAAAGCCATGGATCCGCAACTTGTGTCTCCCTTTCCTCCATCGTCTTATAAGTTATACAATTTAGTGTCTTTGTTTTATATAAAAGCCATGGTCTACTGATCCTTCGTAATGTCAATGACGTTGTAAGTCCTATTCACCATCTTTGAATGTATTAAAACTGCCATTTAAAAAAAATGAGTTAAAAGGGATTGTAAAAGAGAGAAAAAGTATAAATGAAATAAATGAAGAAATACTCTCCATCTTTCAGATATGAGGCCTGTAAACAGAGGATTGTTCAGGGAAACTAAAATTTGATTATAGATAAACATCTTGCATTTGAAGAACATAGTTTGAGAAATTAATCATGCAAATTAGATGGAGTCATTGATGATAATTATTTTACTAATTGTACAAATAGAGAAAATCTATTATACTAAGTACATAAAATTTAAGTTTATTGTTACTGATATTTTAAAACTCAAATTATATTAAGATTATTCTCCAAAGTGAAGAAATTTCCAGGAGACAATGGTATACACATAGAGAACACTGGTATATGTACTGTATACATATTTTAGGGATCTATTGAAATTCATGTATCATAATTAATAGGGCATTGGTGATTTTTTTGGGTTTCTGTAGACCATTCCCTAATGCAAATCAAGCTTGAGTGGTTGTGGCTGATGATTTGGGCACACCTCCTTTTTTATTTTGAGTACATTCTGTTTGCATGAATTTCTATGAGGCAGAGCTATTAACAAGTTCTTAATTTATTCCATCCTCACTGCCGGCAGAGCTCACTATAGCTCTTGCTTTTGACAAGGTTATTTGTAGAAGGGGAGTGCCCCTTTCCTTTGAAGAGCTGTCATGTCCATTCATCATAGGACCATTTGTATAAGCTTCCAATTTGTGCTTTCTGGTAACAGTCTAAACAGCATTTGTGGTATTTGAGATCTACTTCAGAAACCTACTTAGTGCCAGCATGATGGATGGTGTACTTTACAACTTCTTTGTAATTCATCGTGCTCTAGAAAGGTGACATTGTTTACCCCCTCATAATGACAGGTGGGTCAGTAAGAGGGTCCTAAGGAAAGTTGTCCTGTCAGATGCAAAATACATATTAAAACGGATGCATAAATAATTTAGCAGGAGTGAGGTTAGCTTCAGGTAATAAACAGTGATATGTATTTGTATAAAAATGTAAATATCTACTATAATATTATCATAAGGTTAAAGATATTGATAGTGAGGACTGATAATATCTGGTCAATTTTATAAATGGTATACATGAATTTTATGTAACCCTTGTGCAATTATTTTGTTTCCCTTGTAAAACCAAGTCAGATGCAGAAAAGTAAAACACACAATTAATATTCAATATATATTGGCTATATGGTTTCTGCCATATTCTACTTCTTGAGCAGAGTGTTTTTTTTTTTTTCTTGTTCCCATACATTATAGGGACATTGATGGTTTCCTTCAGTGTAACATTGCTTTTTAATCTAAGAGGCAAGCCAGATTCTGCATTTTTATGGAGAAGTTTACTTTCAACAACTCATTAGTTGGGCAGAGATACATTGTTATTAACAAATTGATTACCACCCTGTTCTGTAGACCACGGAGCTCAGGAGCTTCCTTATCAGTTGAACAAATGTGGGTCGGTCACCTCAGTTCTCTAAAACTTATTGTTCTTGTCTATATAAAGGAATGAATGATAGTTACTTAAAGGAAGAAAGGGTAGAAATCACACAAAGTATCTGGGACATATAAAGTATTCAATAAGGATTAGAAATGATTGCTCTTTGGTGTAAAGTAGACACATTTAAATTGAATCAAAATATTATTCAGTTGTAGAAGTATAAAATTTTATTATATTTATCATGCCATCCTACTATCTTCCATCATCTGTTTAATATGATCAATATTAATTGTCAAGCAAAATATCTTTAACAAGTTTGAATAAGACAATATGCATAATATTCAGATTATATTTTTAATTTAACTTCAAGCTCAAAGACATTAGGTGTGAAATGTTTTATTCTTGAATGCAGAAGGATGAATCGTGTCAAGAAAAACTTAAAGAATGTTGTAGTCAGGGGTTGTACACAGAGAACAATTCAGATCAGGACATGGAGTTTATAATGTTTTTATAATGGTCACCGGGAATTAACACCGAAAAATGCAGGAAATTTATCCACAACATCAAAGACATAGATTATTTAGTCAAGGGTCTAAAGCCCACAGCACATGTTCCACATGAGTCCAGATAAAAACCCAGAACTCAGGACATTGCCTCCCACGAGTCCAACTGGAAGCCCAGAGCCCACAAGACAGACTCAGGCCAGTCTCTTTTACGGATCCGTGACAGGAAGAACCAAGGGTCAGCGGTGGAAGCCAGAAAGTCCATGCCAGCAGGATGAAGGAGCTGTGATGGTGGGATGAGGAGCTGAGAAGTCACCCTCACAACAAAGAGCAGGGCTGTCCTGAAAGGCAACACAGCTGTCCTCAGCAACACGGAGGCCCCGAACTCCTCCGATGACAAGCATAGTCAGGTACCTGCCAGGAAGCAGCGTGAGGAGTTCATCCTGGAGACCAAGCAGCACATGTCTTCCCCTGCGGAGCCAGGTATGCTCGATGTGAAGACCACAGCTTCTCCAGGAGAACCAATAGCTCAGACAGCAACTCGTAGGAGAACCCACAATGCCTCCTAAACAAAACTAACAAAGGGCTTATCTGCCACATATGTGAGTTATATTTTCCCCTTTAACTTAAAATTAATTCAGAAGTATTCACATAAAAAGAAGCAATCTCATGAACCATTATCCATAGTTAATATTTGCCAGAAAAGTTATATCTTCTGCATAGAAAAGATAATAAGAGCAAATCAATAAAAGTTTTAAAGAAAATGATGAATTTAAGCAATGAATTTAACTAAGCAACATGTAAGAGACTTCACCAGAACGAATATGGCATTTTAATTGAAAAATGATTAAATTAGACTTTTAATTTGACTAAACTTATTTCTAAAGATTCTGAGCTACCATAATTGCTTCTGACAGAAAATTTTAGTATTTTTGTCTGATGTATACAGAGTTAAGTGGTAATAAAACTTTCTTATCAAATTTAGCTTATATGCAAGTCTTATAAAATGCCAGTACTTGAATATAATCATTTACAAATGAGATTTACCTCTTTTTAATAAATTCTGAAAATTATTTCAAACTAGATTCTTAGCTTGGTACAATAATTTATTTTATTTTAATTTTTAAATTTTAGGTAAGGTAAAACTAAACAAAACAGAACAAAGTAGATAAGAAAACAATGTAAGTGACACAAATTTCAAAGCAAGACAATAGGAAATCTACAATAGCTAACATAGTGTCTCTTGTTTTCTTCTAAATAGTTTTCCATATCTTCACATACAGTGAATTCATACAAAACAAAATAGTAATAAGCTGATCAGAACAGAGTGATGTAGCCATTATAGGCCTTCAAAACCAAATAATA